AGGAGGAGTAAAAGAACATTTATGACCTTTTGAGTAGGTAGATTGCTCCTAGTTGCTCGCTTGCTTACAACAAAAACATTTTATACACCAACACTTTCATTTTGAAACATTTTCAAAAGGCAACGCTTTGTATACATTCTCATAGAGACGAGGACCATTACAAAAACACCCTTTTCAAAATCACTTTCAAAAACACATTACAAAAACACTTCTTTGAACTATTTTCCAAAGAACACTTTGTATGCGTTCTTATAGAAATGAAAACCATTACAAAGACATTTTCAAAATACTTTCAAAACCTACACCACAAAGCACACCTTCAAACAAAAGCAAGTGATCTAACAAGCAACTAAGAGCCCATAAATAACTATGGATGAAAAGGGTGCTAACACCTTCCCTTTTCATAATCTACCCCCCGAACTCAAGAAAAATAATCTCAAAGGTATTTCCTATTCTTTTCACCCTTTCCTTCATTGGATAAAAGAAAAGTCGGTGGCGACTCTTGCTATCTGCAACAATTGCGATCAAACGCAAAACATCCCAAGTCAGTTCTCCCACCGTATTACACTTGTGTAGAACTTAAAAAATATAAGAATAAGGGTTTAAGGTTTTGAAAGTCATGTAATTTCTTGTGTTGTAAGTCACCCTTTGTATAAGTTTGATACATCGTGGTAGACATTGATCTATATAGATTCAGAAGCCTTTTGGTGAAACAATCGGATGAACAATCAACCGATAATGAAATCAATGAAGTCGGCATCTAACATTTTTTATCCCACAGGAAGGGAAAGGTAAACATTAAGTAAACTTGAGAAGGGTGAGATCAAGGTCGAACGACCAACAAATATGAGTAAGGAAGTCTGTTACGCGGGGAGAAGGTATTATCACCCCACATGCTCGTAGTACTCTATGGTATCCACTCTTGTTGTTCTAATCTAATGGGTGTGTAAGAATCTATATCTAAGCTGTATAGGGAATGCATGCAAAAGAAAGGAGAAAACAATGTAGGGAAAATAAAAGTTGTGCTTGTTCGGGCCCTACCTCAATCCCTACGTATCCCTTTTAAGGAATCAGAGCATTCGTAGTTCGACTCACATATTTTGGTTGGTTTGTATTTTTTTAATGAACACTATTAATTTTACCTTCTGCCGCAACTCGACCTTTGGAGACTCCCGCGTCAGCACAGAAGTGAATTAACATGTTCTTTTGAAAACAAATTTGAAAGAAAATCCCGAAGGCGCAAAAGAGTTTGCATTGGTTGATAGCTTTTACCTTAAAGAAGGATTTGGAAGTTGTTAGGTGTTTTGTGAATTTTTTAAGAAATGATTTTTAGTCTTAAATACAAGGATACAAAAGAAAGAAACACGTCTAAGAGAGACTAACCTAAATATATCCCTAATGTTATCATATAATGATTGATCCTAAGGTTGAGTTTTAAAAGGGAACTTTCTACTCTATGTTAGCATGCATGGATACCAATCCTAATGTCTAACTCGAAGACTAATTTAATCAAGCGATCCTAAGGGAAGCATAGTATAGCAAACAAATGCGAAACTAAGTGCTTTGGCAAAAGCACACAAACATATGTAGAACATACTGACTCAAAGGGGTGGGGAATCAATAGAAATGCTTTATCTAAGGGGAGCATATCACCTGAAGCAAACAAGCGGGAGACAGATGTAAAAAAAAATTTGTGACGTCCAAAGCGACTGAACACCTAACCAAGATATAGAAGATTGATGTAAGCGACAGAAGATGATATGAACGGTCACAGAATGTCAGCATCAGCCAATGTGAACTCCTGACAAAGCGTGGGGGGTTTATTGCTAAACCCTTCCCCACTTGACGAACTCGATACACAAAATATGCACGACTCCGAAGCATCGACGTACAATGTGAGCTAAGGATGACACAGACTAGAATGTGAGGGGGTCAATTGCAGACCCTTCCCACTTGCCTCCTTTTGTGGACTTAACACCTGTAAAACAATGCGGGCACAAATGTAAACACAGGTGTGGAATACCTACTTCAAAGGTAGGATTTTAAACAACCACAATTAGCATACAAAAAGAGGTTCCTGCTACATGACTTTAAACAACAACTTCAAGCGCACACTCTTTATTTCTTGCTTCCTATTTCACATGATTTCTAGAAAGTGATAAATGCTGAAATGAGATAAACAAGGGAAAATACCAAACGAATACCAATCCGTAGAAAAGCGCATAAAAACAATTAAACCTGATGATCTTCGCGAAAGCTTCATCGGTCAAAGAAAAGAGTCAGAAATCTAATACTCGGAGTAAGTGTCGAAGCAGCTCGATGTGAAAATAAATCACAATCGAAAACTCAAGCATATCCGCGTATCGCACAATAATCCTACATAAGACTCAAATCTCAAAAAGTAAAAATGAATTAGAAATCTCAATTAATCGGATAATCGGAATTTAATTCGTAAATAATAATTAAAAAATCTAACAAATTTTTATATTTTATTTTATTATTTCAAAATTTTTCCTTTTTTTAACAAAAATTGTTACCTAAATATTATGAAAATAAAGAACTAAAGGAAAATAAAAAAACTACACAGGGGGTGTCAGCCTGAAAACAGGAGGTGTTGAAGAAAGTTTGAGCCTAGGCCCAGACTCTTGAGTCCATAATGTTGTTTTTGTTTGCAAAGCAATAGGTTGCTTCTAAAAATCACCCCTGGGCTTAAGAGAGATTCGGCCCAAACCATAACAAGATCCAATCCGATTTTTATATTTCCTTCAACTTGTTATTATGTACAAAAAACCTCATTCTAGTGGGCCTGAAAAGAGGTGTAGAATTCGGTCCAATAAAACAACAGACCAGTTTTTTTTGGCAAATTTGATTTCAAAAATAAACCATGGGCTTAGCAAAATATAATCTGGTTCAAGACCTGTTCGACTACCTTTTTGCTTTACCTATTTCAATAACATGAAGAAGAAAACAACGCGAAGAAATTGAGAAAGGGAATACGTGGAATTTAGGGTTGTATTTTCTTCAAATCTGCAGAGTACGAGCGTTTCTTCCCCTTCTCAATCCCTCCGCCATTTCAACTTTAAATTCAATCTCCGATGAATTTTCCGTTGGACTCCAATTTATCCGCTCGCTATTTGCTCTGTCTCCGATTCTTCTCTCAATGACACAATGACAACCTCCATATCAGCTTCTCCATCACAACTCCGCCATTCTCAACACCATAATCATATCACATCCTTTTTATTTTCTCTCTGTTAAAAATCATCATCTCCCCATCCAATTCGTAGTGGATTCACCTTGAGAACTCACTTTTCAAGCTATTCGCAAATCTTACCTCTTAAGCTTCCGTTTTAGTTCAATCCAATCAAAACATCAACACAATAAGACTAATAGAAGAAGGCTAGGAGCATTACCTACCAGAATAAGCATCTGGTGCCCCTTCAAAGATGACGAGATCAGTGAAAAAAAATCCAGAGGAGCAAATTCAAGTGTGTGATCCGTTTTCCATTCCTCTTCTTCTTCGTGTTGTATATTTCTATTGTTGATGCGAAGTAAAAAATAATAATGATGATGTTGTTATTGCAGATACGTGATGCAAGAATCCTTGCAAAATAGAAGTATCGTTGATGCTCTAGATTCGTGGAGAATGTTGAAGAACGTGAATGATACAAATTGAGAAATGGATGATGGAGATTTATGAAGTGCAGAGAGTTGAAAGAGTTTTTGTGTTTTGGAGGGTGATTCTTTTGCCAAAAATGAAGAATGGATGAAGATGATGGAAGAACAAAGCAAAGCAAAGATGAGAGAGTTTTGTTCTGTGTTTTAGGTGGATGAAGATGAAGATGAAGATGGAGAATGAAAAATGATCGATGGAGGAAGAGAGAATTTCAGAGAGAGAGCAAAGAGATGAGATAATTTTTTATTATTTCTGCAGAATGAAGAATGTGAAGAAGGAAGAATGAAAGAGGTAAGTTATGTTTTATTTTATTAGCAGTTGCAATTTTGTTAGGAATCTGTTAGAGATCTGTAAAGTTGGTTATGAAGTTATTATTTGATTAGAGTTAGTTAGTGAGAATTAGTTATTTTTTCTGCTTTTCTGTTAATTGATGCTGAGTTGGAAAACTATCTTGTTTCTGATTTCAGGGACTCCAGCTTCATCCTGCTGTAAGGTGCTTTTGGAGAGTTGCAGGCAACACAAGGTTCACTGTCAAGATAATATCCTTCAAATTCTACTAAGCCACTCAAAGTATTATATATGGGATAATTTGGATGGTTAGCTAATAGCTCGTTCTATGAATGAAGCATCTTAAATATGCACTGGTCTACAAGATCGGAAATCTTGTGTTTTGAACTAGTATCTAGGGATCTTCCGAGTAACCAAATAACAAGTTATGTATACTACATGATATTCTGGACAACATTGGGAGGGACTTAACTGTAAAAGAAGTAATGGAGTTGTGGGTTTATCAAGCTCTCCACAGGATGCCAATAGCTAAGGCTCTTCCCGATAATATCCTTCTAATTATGACTTTTTTCAAAAGCTTCTTTTCCTCTTCTTTTTCTATGTATTCTGAAGGGACTTTGAGTAGGAAGATGATGATGAATTGTTAGTATTTCATATGCTTGATAGCTTCTTTTCTATGATATTTTGTGATTTGGTTACAATCCTGTTTATTGGGCCTGAATTTGTGATTTTGTTTAAACGTGTCGATTTCCTATAAAAATTTGTTACTGCGGTAACTTGATTTAGCTGAGATGCAAAATTTGTGTTGGCCTGTTTGTTATTGTTGTGCAACTGTGATGTTTGATAGGTTTTGACCGACTTTGCATGCAATAATTCACCTCTTCTTGAGTTTGTCTTAATGTTAAGCAAACTTTCTCTTTGCACTTGTTTGATATTTGTAGTAGGATGGAATTAGGCCCATGATTAAACTTTCATGTGATTTTTGTTATGAAACAAATGGATATGAGGCTTTATTGTTGGATTTGTGAACATGATTTTAAAGATAATTCCTTAAACCACAAGTTGATTCCTTCAAGAAAGCCCTAATGATGAAATTGTAAAATTTCTTTAAAACTATCTTGTTTATAATTAAATTTTGTTTGCTAACCACCTTACTTTTTCTTCCTTGTTTTATGAGATGGTAATAATGGTGAGTGCATGGAGAATGAGAATTAAAAGGAGGTATCATAGGCCTGGAAAGGAAACTGCAAGATAGTCTAAGAAGGGCTTTGGAAAAGAAGATGAACATTATGTTTTAGGCTTAGAAACAAGATTTTTGGGCAGCTTTTGATGTATGTGAAGTTGTTTGAACTTGTAATGGTTTTTGGATGTAACAAAACTTGACTGGAATTGTAATGCTTTTATGCCTTTGTAGTAAATTAATGTAATATGGCGTATGGCACCTTCTTGTAATGTAACTCGTTTTTGTGTAATTTATTTATATAATAGGCTAAGGTAATGACTTGAATGGATCGTTGGATTTATCCATATTTTGAAATATAGTTGGATAATTGAGTACACCTTCTTTGACCTTATGTTGTCGAAACATGAATGGGTATTTGTAAATAAATCTTCGAAGAACAAAACCACTCTACTTGTATTTTAAGCAAAAAGTTTAACAATGAATCCACATCATCTTTGTACGATGATCTAATGTTCTTGCAAATCAACCAATAAACTCTTAACTTGGTGACCAAAGATCCCACAAGGTGCCATGTCTTGAAGAAAACTTATATCTTAAGGAAAAGTTGACTGGAAAAGCCTATTTAAATCATGATACATAAATCCCTAATTGATGAAGTAAGGAATAGATTATTCCACTGTATCAATGCCATAATCAACCTCTAGGATCTTCAACAACGAATGTACCTTTGGATTCCGAAAGATAGTTTTAATAAAACCCCAATGGAATCAACACTCTTGAAGAAACCTTTATCCCACAAAATAGGAGCAGATGATTCACAAAAATATTTATGCTAAAGCTCACACCCTTTAAGATAGAACCAAATGCTCGTCACTTAAGAGAAAGCTTCATATGAAAGTCAATTCTTTGTAAGAAAATCCAAGAAGTGGTGAAAAATGTTATAACACAAGTAATGGATGAAGGTCCTTAATTTTGAAGGAAAGAGACTCCAAATAGCCATAAGATGCAACCCTAAACCATAATCCTTGGAGAAGGACTTGATTGGAGCATAATTGCTGAAAACCTGGATTTGACCGCACATAGGAAAATAAACCCCGATAGCCTCGTAGCTTGATAAATAAAGAAATTCTCAATGACCCATGTCACAGCCCTAATTCCACTATTCATTGCTTGAATAAGAAATCTGCCTTTATTGGATGCGAACGCCTTAACCATTGCGAAACCCTATCATTGCACAACCGCTGGACTTTGAACCATAGAGCTATATTGTGTGAAATGTATGCCATGTTAGTGACTTGATGGAATATATGCATATGAATGAAAAAGTCTAAGCCAAATGAAAGAAATTAGGAGGGAAAACGTTGGGGTGCAACATTAGGCAATGAATTATATATTGTTCTTGGACAAAGCTTTCAAGCAAATCCAAGTATTTTGTTTGTCAAGAGTCTTGACTGAACTTTATTTGAAAGGGGTGTCTATCAAGTAGTGTGATTCAGTCACCAGAGGTTGTAAGATTGCTTCGTCTGGTCATGTAGATAGTTTTCCTGTCTGCTTTCAGGTGTTAATCTATAAATCAATTGTTTGTAGATAGTTGTCCTATTTGGTTTAAGGTATTAATCTGGAACTTGAAATGTCGATCGCTGAGATAGTTGTCCTGGCTTGTTACTGGTATTAATCTTTGACCTGAGAAAGAAAGATATTTTTCCTGGCTTGTTACAGGTATTAATCTTTAATCTCCTCATGTAGATAGTCCTCCTGGCTTGTTATAGGTACTAATCTACAGTTGATCGTCCACAGATAGTTCTCCTGGCTTGCTACAGGTGTTAATTTGGAACTTGTTTTTGTCGGTCATTGAGATAGTTGTCCTGGCTTGTTACAGGTATTAATCTATGACCTGAGAAAGAAAGATAGTTTTACTGGCTTGTTACAGGTATTAATCTTCAATCTCCTCATGTAGATAGTTCTCATGGCTTATTACAGGTATTAATCCACAGTCGATCGTCCATAAATAGTTCTCCTGGCTTGTTATAGGTTTTAATCTGGAACTTGGAAATTGTGGGTCGTTTGAGATAGTTGTCCTGGCTGGTTTCAGGTATTAATCTTTGACTTGATAAAGAAAGATATTTTTCCTTGCTTGTTACAGGTATTAATCTTCAATATCTTCATGTAGATAGCTTTCCTGGCTTGTTACAGGTATTAATCTACAATCAGTCGTCCACAGATAGTTTTCCTGGATGGTTTCAGGTATTAATCTTGAACTTGTTTTTGTTGTTCGTTGAGATAGTTGTCCTGTCTGGTTCCAGGTATTAATCTCGGACCTGAGAAAGAAAGATAGTTTTCCAGGCTTGTTATAGGTGTTAATCTTCAATCTCCCCGTGTAGATAGTTTTCCTGGCTAGTTACAGGTATTAATCTACAATTAGTCGTCCACAGATAGTTTTCATGGCTTGTTACATGTATTAATCTGGAACTTCTTGATGAACCGGGGTTAGGTCATCTTGAGATAGGTCCATGTGAGACTTCTGGAGGAACCGGGGTTAGGTTACTTGGATAAGTTCGTGTAAAAACTTCGTGATGAACCGGGGTTAGGTCATCTTGAGATAGGTCCATGTGAGACTTCTGGAGGAACCAGGGTTAGGTTACTTGGATAAGTTCGTGTAAAACTTGAGATAAATCCGTGTAAGACTTTCGGAGGAACCGGGGTAAGGTTGCCTGATTTTTAATGTTGATCTGGGATTTGTAAATGTAAATGGTAATCATCTTTATATTGACCTTAGTGTTTTGGTTGACAGAGCAACTGGATCGCCTGGACGACTCATTATTGCCCCTGTTTCTGAGGTGAAGGGAGAAGGATACCTGTGTGGGTGATTGACCAAACTTCGGGTAGACAAGTGATGAGATACCGGAACATAGTCGTACGCTTTGATCCCTAACTTTTGCATGGACCGCCCTTTCGGGTTTTCAGTCCACCAGGATACCCATTTTTGCCCAAGCCGCCTTTTCAGGTTTTCGACTTGCCGGGTGTACATATTTTTCCATTTTCATCCCTTATTTTTGCCCGAACCCTTTTGGTTCGCCGGGAAGCCCTGATTTTTGCCTAGGTGTGTCAACCTAGCGGGTCTTTGATTTTGCGTAGTATTTTTCCAACTATGTCCACGCTCTCAAAATGTAGGGAGTTTCCCCCGTTGGAAGTATTTTGTCATGCCCCAGATAATGGGCAATGCTCCTACTGTGCCCCTTGATTGGAGGTACTTCTGTTCACAAGGTGTTCATCGTGCGAATTTCCCTGTTGTTCAAACAAATAGTCATATGCAAACAAGGTTATTTTAAGAATGCAAAAGCCCATGTCTGTCTTGAATATTTTGAAAATGCATTTTTTTGTAATACAATGCGGAGTCAATTCAAGATTTTACCGCAAACCTTCAGGAGTCAGGATACCTTCGTAACAGTATGCTTTCGAACTAACCCATGCTTCAGCTAGGACTTTTAAGGGTTATATCGTGGCCTGGTTCACGATTTAAGAAACAAAAGATAAAGGCTCAAATAATTTGTACCCACCCGCTCTTCGTGATGTTCTCCAAACCTAAACTCAGTTGATCATACATTAGACCCTGTTTGAGTCTTTGCTCTGATTTTCCAGTGATGGTTCGGACATTGATGATTTATTCTGACTAGGCAGTCATTTTTGTTATTGTTGAGGGTTTGTGAGACCTCTTTCTTTTGATTTTTTTTTTGTTATCCCTTTCCTTTTCTGCCTGAACTGTTTCCTTTTTTGAATTACAGTCAGCGGGATGCCCCGATTTCATAAGTCCCTTTTATAGGTTTTGACTTGGGCTTTTCATTTATGATTTTTTTTTTTTGATGACGACTGCCTGTCTTTATGATTGTTCTGAACCATCACCGTCTTTCTTTGTTTTGTAAGGACCTTTTTTGGTGCCATTCGTTATGCACTTAGATCAACTGAAAGAACTACCCTGCCCCAGGTTATGATTAAGGGTTTTAAATTTTGAAAAGAAAAAACTCCTACTTCTTTGGCTCAGAGGGGTTGACGAGGGATTATCTTCCTTATAACTCCAGTGTTTAGGGATTGAAACAATGCCTGTACCTCATCAGCGGGGTCTAATTAAAAGCATATTGTAGATTGTGGTATCGTTTTCGTCATCCTCCCTCAAGAGGTTTAGAATTTTCAGTCGAGAGTTGATCATCACAAAATATGAAAGCAGTTTTAAGTACAGTAAACATAATTAATTCAAGACAGACATGTGTAATGCATTCATGAAATAAAAGAGTTTAACATAATAATTGTTTGTTTGAATAAGAAAAGAAAGATACAACTTGAATTCAAATGAACAAAAATCTCTCGAGCCTAGCCATGTTTTGGCAATGGAGCAGTGATCACGTTGGGGGTCTCAGCAGGTTCAAATTCAATTTCTTTAGCATCGATCATATTCTAGATCTTGTATTCCAGCGCCCAACAATCCTCGGTATCGTGCCCCGGGCTATCGGAATGATAAGCACATCTGGCTTCTGGATTGTAGCTTGGAGAGGAGGTCTTAGGATTTGCAGGAGGATTAATCACCGCAATCAGGTTCATCTTCAACATGTGCTGCAATGCTTGTGACCATGGCATGTTAATGTTGGTGAATTGTCTTTTAGGTTCATCCGGCCTTCGCTGATTTCCCTTTTGTGGTTGACGGCGTGGTGCAGAACCAGAGATCATGATTGCCCCAGCATGTTGGTCACAACGACTCTTTTGGCTGTATGCCGCATTAGATTCTTTCTTTCCCGTGTAAGGCTTCTTGTGAGTATCAGAAGGTGTGGGCTCTTGAATTTTCCCACTCTTGATACCAGCTTCAATTCTTTCGCCGGTCAGGATGAGGTCGGTAAATCCCGCAGATGAATTACCAATGAGATGATTGAAGAATGGCCCGGATAGGGTCCCCAAGAACATATCAATGAGTTCCCGGTCAGTCAATGGAGGCTGCACCCTTCCAGCAAGGTCTCTCCATCTCTGCGCGTATTCCTTGAAACCTTCACTTGACCCCAGCGACATACCCTGGAGCTGGGTACGTGTAGGAGCAAGGTCGGCATTATACTGGTAATGTT